TGAAGACACCTTGATACGAGTATAAACTATCTGTCAAATCAAATCAAGACTCCTTGTTACGAGTTTAAACTAATCACAAATCATGTTAAATGAAGAACTCCTTGATACGTGTATAAACTATCTGTCAAATCAAATCAAGACTCTTTGTTATGAGTTTAAACTAACTACAAATCATGCCAAATCAAGACTCCTTGATACGAGTATAAACTATCTGTCAAATCAAATCAAGACTCCTTGATACGAGTATAAACTATCTTTCAAATCAAATCAAGATTTCTTGATACGAGTTTAAACTATCTATAAATTCACGTCGAAAACTCCTAGATAAGAGTTTAAACTATTTGCATTTCCAATCCAAATTCAAAATTTTGAGACTCATTCACTACCAAGATATTTTGTCCGTGAACAAGTCTCAAGGGGGCATTTGTAGACATCAAAATTTTAATGTTTTATTAATTAATGTCTTTATTTATTTTGGGACATAAATCCATGATAAATAAGATATTTAATTAATAAAGTTATTATTTCTTGCCCACCAGGTCAATTCTTAGGATAAGGAAAGAGATTATATCAAATAAAGAAGAATCAATCAAATTGATGTCTTTTTTTTTCAAGACTCTATCTCTTACACCTATAAATAGGGTTCTCCTCAATGCCACAAATCACACATCAAAATATCAAACACATCTAAAAAATAAAAGTCTCAAATTCAAGAGCTCTCAAGAACTCTTTTGAAGATTTGAAGAAGTTCTTGAAGAATCCCCGAAATTCGTTTAATGGAGAAGAAGGCCAAGAAGAATAAAAAGAGGTTGCGACTCTTCCTCAAGTGTTTAGTGTATATTTTTATCTGTTTAGTGTATATTTTGATCATATTATAAATATATGAACGGTTTAGTGTTTATTTTTATCTAACTTAATATTACTTTTTTTTCACATTGTGGGCAGAAGTGGGATATTCAATTCGTTGAAGCCGAACCAACCGAATTTTCACTTAACCAAAATTTCGATTTCTAAGCTAAATCAGTTGATAAAATGGAAAAACGACAAAAATTATTACAAAATTAACAATCGCTAGCTACTTAATAATTTCAACAAAGCAATCATAAGGGGTAAAAATATAAAAATAACTTGTCCCGAAAATACATGTTTATCAAGTCTCATACAACACTAGGTTCAATAAATATAAAAATTGAAAAGAAAAATCTTGGTTACAACAACAACAACAATAATAATAATAATTCAATAGAACGTCATTACAAACTCGTCCAAGTCTATTTTAATTTTAGTTTAGCATTATTCTATATTTCAAGTAGCATTAATCTAGCATTATTTCACATTTAGTCTATTTTACATGATTGAGTTCCCAGATTTAACTTACCATATTTTACATTTTATTCATTCGGGCATTAAGTTTGATATTTTTCTTATTAAAAAAAAAAATGATATCTAGTGGGCTTGGGGATGTGTTATATTTTCTTCTAAATAGTTAATGCAAATGAGCCTATAAGATGAGTTTGGCGTGGGTAGATAATATAAATAACTTAAATATAATATCGTTTTCGATTCTACTTGTTTAACTGATCATTTATATTAAAATTGAACCAAGGACGGAAAACTCAGGAGGAATTTACACCCTTTACTATCAAATATAATTTATATGACACATATACATCCAAGATATATTTATTTGCAAACTTACCAAAATTATCATAATTTTTGCACATATATCAGCTCTTTAGTTTTGTTAAATATATATTTTAAACATGGTAAAGGAAGAATTTTATGGGTGTGCATTTTGTTGGGGATTTTAAATCTTGTTTAAGTTAATTATTTTCTTAAGATGTTGTGAAGTTCTTGCCAATTCTCTAATTCATTGTATGTATCTGTATATGTAGCGTGTGTAGACAGTATATATTCAGTATATGCACGTCTTAGAGATATGTACAATTATTGTACATCTTAATTTATGTTTGGTATATTAGTTTACGTATAAATTAGTTTCTAAATGTATGCTTGTTTTTTCTGTTTTCAATGTTTATTCATAGTTTATGTTTAGTATATTAGAAGATTTTTTTGTTGAAAACGAAATTGTCAAAGGAGCAATCTAATGTTTTTGTTGTTTTCATATATTAGAAGATTATCACAACGTTTACTGAATATAACCTGTGATAATGTATATAAACTATATATATACTTTTATGTATAAAAAAACAAAAAAAAAAAAACAAGAAGCATTAATTTTTCATGGAAGATATATTTTTCATTGCAACATATACTGAATATACACTAACATAAAGGCAGATATATACCACATGACAGGTGTGTGAATTACAATACATGTTTTTATTTCTCTCTATTAAAAACGTACAAGCTGCATGAATTAAGGAATTAAAGGAGTTTTTCACTCTTAATCAAAAGCATAAAAAGGGGGTGGAGATTAGAAGGATATGATAACTGACTTTAAGCATTAATATAGATAAATAAGGTCTTTCAGGTAGAGACGACACACAATAATTTCTACTTATGGTAGAGTTGCAATTAATTTAAAATCACGTAACAGACCTAAAAATTTATCAAAATTTAAAGAAAAACAAAACCAAAACCGAATATTAGTTCCAGTTTCAGTCCAAATTGAACTTACGGTTTTGGCCATTTTGCTAGGTTAGCCGTATTTTGTGCAACCCAAGAGTTAGATATTCTACCTTTCTAATTTTTTAGTCCTCTAGGTATTTAGTCTTGTGCGTGTGGTACCGTAGTAGTCTAAGCTACATTCATTACGACTTGTACGTCTCCCTCTGAATTCAACTTTTGGCTGCTTCAGTCAACTATTTTTTTTTCTTGATGAAACACCCGGAAGGGTAGGGTTAAGGCGAGACCCCCTACTTGTATATAAACATGCCCAAAAATGACTGGAGAATCACAGATCTACAAGTTCGTATAGCAAGCTAAAACTACTAAAGACAGGCAAAAGAGAGGGGGAGAGAAAAAAAAATAAAAATAAAAATAGTAAAAGCACACTATATCAGTACAGTAACATTTTTCCAGATGTAACTGGTTCCAAACAAATGCCCTAAAGTAAAAGCACACAATAACTATATCAAACTGTACAAAGCAAGGAAAATAGGGCAGTACCTTCAAAAGGAAGATCAGGTCTCCTCAGCATCAAAATTGTCTAATCCAATTCTAATATAGCAGCCTTCCACATAAATGGATTACCGGATTACTGCTTCTGTTGGAACTTAGACCATTTTTCACCACAGTAACTAAATTAAGTGTTTGAATATGTACTACGAGATCTCTTGCAAATTTAAAGATGTGAATTCAAAGCTAAAACCAGACATTTTCAGTCATACTTCTGTTTTCCTCGCATACACTTTCGACTAACTCTATACGGAAGCTACAAAAGTTGATGTAAGCAAGAGTTTGGTTGATCAAATCAAAAGCAATAGATCACTATTGAAATCAGTATCCAGAATAGGTGACTTCTATTACACCAATTTAAAGTTTATGTGGTAACCTAAGCTTAATTTGTAAGTTAATTTAAATGTTCCTAACAGCATTGTGTGTTTCCATGGGAAATGGAGGATCACAAAACACGGGGAGAACTTCTCTAGAATAATACTACCGGAAGAATGATTTTACATGGTCGTAATGTCTCGGAATTTTATGGAGAATAGCTAATTAGCTATTGACCCAATGTTTATTATACAACTACCGGGTAAGTAAAGCCACTAGTAGACTTCAGTTCATAAAATCTAACTTGGATAAGAATTTGACTGATATGCAAGGAGCGGAAACATGTAGACAAACAAACAAGACGTAATTTCTAAGTTGCAATTGGAATATTGTCGTTTTCCTTTTTGCTAGAAGAAAGTTTTTCACCTGAAACTCAATCATTTTCAATGAACTCAAGCGCCCACTAGGGCTAGACTAGGCATAAAGATAAACTGTTTCGACTAAATGACACAAGCTTGATGTCTTAAATGCACAAGTTACACCATGTAAGAAGGTCGTCTTCCCACATAGCAGAGTAACTTTGAGCTAATAATTTAACATGGGAAACTACTCTGATAAACTTTCTTTAAACCTAAAGTATACTGAGGAAACACGAGATGAGTGGGTTCTCAATCGCACAGTTACATAAACACATTTGCATAAGCTTTTAAGGTGATGCAAAAGAGATTGCATTTTTCTTTTATCCCAAGAGATCAAAACATAACTCAGAGCATATCCATAGAAGAGGGCAGTATGCATACAAATTTGTTTTGTGACACGTCAAAACTTTCTCATGTTTCAAATCACAATATGTCAGGCAGTGATCACAAATTCATCTGGAACATCCATCACTAACAATGGCATGCAATACAAACCAACATGCTTTCAAAAAATATGCACGACAAGGATGGGCATGTAATGAAATATAAATTATTGTAAAACAATGGGAAGGCTAAATATCTAGTCATCCATTCATAGATTATGCACAAACGAAGAGATCATGAACAGAAACGTTGAAACTTGAAACATAAACACACAATCGTCAGCATCAACAACAATAACAACAAATGTGAAAGATTCATCAAACCACTAGCATGGTGGAGGACCTGATCAATAAATAGAAGACCCTAAAAACATGAACAAACACCATAAATTAAAATTCTCAAATTTGTGTGCGCTTCTAGTAAGTGAAATGTTCTGTCACGAATTTGGAAATCATGCCTTAACTGCAAATTTTTAACTCACATCAAATACATGTGAGACCTCATTACAGCTAAAGTAATGCCATGACTTCTTTGAGAAGCCCAAAACAAAATACGAAGTTGTTTAAGAAATACGGCAATACACCAAGCTTTTTCAACCAAAAACCAGATAATCAAATTCGAAAACCCTTCAAAATTATAAAAGCAAATGCGTCTGAAGAAACCATCAATCAAGCTACTTCCAGAGACTAACTACTAATTGAGAAAAAAAAAAAAGAAAAAAAAAAGGAAGAAAGGAAACCTCTACCCTATGTTGCTGATGCCATTAACTTGCTCCACAAACTGCAGCTGATGTTGATGACCTTCCTGGTTTGGTTCTATCTGCTGCAATGGCTGCACTACACCACCCTGAAGGCCTCTAGAGCCGGCTTCCTGTACCAACGCCTTTGCTTCCATTAACCGCCACATGTACCATGCCCCTACAGACCTGTAGGGCCTCCACTTCTCACACAGTTGCTCCATCTGTGAGGGCTTGGGCAGCTCATCCAGGCCATACAACATCTGCACTCCTTTCCTGACCTTGAAGTCACTCACTGGCAGGACATCCGGCCTCTGGAGAGAAAGAATCATGAACATGTGAACCGACCAGGAACCAATTCCTTTCACCATTGTCAGCATTGTGAACAAGGACTTGTCGTCCATCTTAACTACCATGTCATCTGATAAAATCCCAGATTTGTATTTATTCGCAAGGTCATAGATGTAGCTGGCCTTGCGGCCAGAGACCCCAATTTGCTTCAGCTGCTGGGGGGAGAGGGTGAGGACAGTGTCCGGGCAGATGGAATGCTGACCTCCACAGAGGGCAATGAAACGTTGGTAGATGGTATCGCCAGCCTTGACGGCGAGCTGCTGGTAGAGGATGCTCTTGGCAAGGGCGTGGAATGGCAGGAAGCGCTCGGGGAACTCCGGTGGCCGGAAG